AGCACTGTCTGACGCGTCTGCCTCCGCGACCCGAAAGGAGAAGCGGCGATGGAAGATGAAGATGATGAAAAGCAGTCGAACAAATTTTGCACCTCTGGCTGCTATGCGAGAAATCCGAAGACCACAGTATGCATCGACATCTCTGTTTTGTCGACTTCTGAACTAGCGTTGGGCGATTGTGATAAAATATTATTTCAGTGAGCAAATCTTGGGCCTGTTAAAATCGAATCCTGCTCTACAAGGATTCAAATAACGAGGTTAAGATATTCGGCACTCTCAACGAATGGTTCAAGAGTTCAAGACGACGGCTGCCATTCGATGATGCTGCTCATTATCGCCAGCGTTGTTAAAGTTTGCCCGGAGGAAGTTATTTGGTATAGTTTAAAAGTCACGACTCCAGTGGTTTTGGCACATTTTGCGAATGTTTCCGATAAAGAGGACGAAACAGCTGCTAGTTGCTCAGTTGACCTCAGGGACGGCCAAGAATGATGAGACAAGTGCCGTGACGGATTCTTCTCCGGCGCAGGATGGGGAACCTTGTAGACAATGTTACCCGAGAGAACAAATGGTCATCAGAATCGACTGATTAGCTTTAAAGTAATACGGATCCTTTACCGGATCAGAATCAGTTGGGAGCCAACGGACCAGCAATCTTAGACTGGCAGGGAATAATGGGAAACTTTAGATCTGGTCAGTCGACGAACACGAGAGCAGCATCTTATTTATTTAGATAAATAGCGAATATATCAAGACTATGAGTGCAGCAAAAACGATAATGGATTTGCAAATGCGGTTGAATGACAAAGACCTTAAGCATTTTCAGGAATTTAAGTACTTTGGCGCAGTAGACACTGTTGATGCAACCGATGAAGCTAACACCTTAATAGGGTAGTTATGGCGATACTGTCGAAACTGAAACCAATCTGTAGAAGGAAACAACGTGTGTGAGAATCAGCACGTGATTGTTAAGAGTGCTCAAAGAATCGGTCTGTTTGTGCGACTTTGAAGCCTGGTAACTCATGACGGCAGCAGAAGAAAGAGCTCCCAAGCATTGAAACGAAGTACCCTTTGCGCCTGCTGTGGATTCTATGCAACGCGCAAATCACAAACAACGAAGTCAAAAGGACGAACAAAGTATATGGTCTGTTACGAAATTGTTTCTGGCCGTCGTGTAACATTAAAACTGCGATATTTATTCACGATGCGTGGATTTACGTTTTTAAAAAGATATTAAAATTTTGCCTCTGCTTTTTGTTATCGATGCATCGTACCCCTGCGTGCTGTTCAAGCAATCAGCTATAGCGCCTTTTAGGTGAATAATATTTTTGCAATTTTGCCTCGACCGCTCGTAACCATGATCAGGAAACGATATCCAGTCTGCTGCAATGAAGGAACATTCGTCTGCAGGGGAACCAGCGTCGATATCTTCGCATCTGTCTGTATGTCTACTGCAAAATACTGTTCGCCTGTGTGAAGTGCTTTCGAGCGTTGCAGATATGATTTTGCGATTGCTCAGTGTAATCTGCTGCAATACTTTAAGGGAGAATTCAGCTGAGTAATACGTTTGACTCTGAGGTATGCTTAAATTCGAAGATAAACTTCTGGCCCGCTTGTCTTAAGCATTGGTAAAACATACCACAGGTTGGATATTCCAGCACCGGCGCAATCGACTGGTTTACTGAACCTCAAAAAAAGCTTAAAACTATGGCAAGAAAAGCGAGATGTGAGATTGCACACTATTTTAGCAGTTTTTGCAACCATAGTCAGTTCAGCAAAAATGACCGACATCGGTGTCACTTCCGCAACGGTTAAATTCTATCTTCTTTACTGCGTCCTCATGAAATCGACAGACTTATCAAATGGCTCAAATGAGTGCGACATGCAACAGAAATCGTTGCTGAAGCTAGGAAGCTGCCTAAAGGAGGGTGACATGTGTTGTATTTTCACGATGCCAGTTTTTGTGGTGGACGAGCCGGGTAAAGCAAACTCTCAAAGGCGAGACGGTACAACATAACGCACAAGTAACAAAACGATATATATAGTACAAACGGATTATATACTCGACATCGGCGCGTAGTAAATGACGCTCTCACATATGCTAATGCCTAGAGCGCATGATTTGGCCTAATGGACGTGGCGATGTGTAGTCGATTAGATCACAACATGCAAATAAAGCAGTCGATTGCATCAATGCACGGCTGACTCATGGCGATGGCTTATAATCGACCCTAACAACACTGATGCTGGTAGTTTAGTAAATACAAACATGATACTGCATATTCATTTAAAGTTGATTAAGGGCGGAAACAACTCATAATGTCTCTGTTGATTACCCCGCTGACAGATGCATTGTTTGATTTCCCACAAAGTGCTTTGGAGCATCGCCTTTGGTTGCTTTCTTTTATTTGTTGATTGACTAAATGAATAATAAAAAGTTTTCAATTTTTTTATATGGTAGCAATATAATTGACAACAGAGGATAAAGCCTAAAACTGGTTTTCCAATTTGTTTCATTGTTTTGCTTATAATTTTCGTTTGTTCAGTCATTGCTCCTTAAACAGAAAGAACTGATAATAATTTTTATTAGGTTTAGCTATCAATATTTGGATGCTTTTTTCCTTGATTTCTTTCCTTGATGGAATGTCAATCAACTGGTCCGTGTTCCTTACTGAATCACTCTAGCCTGGCCATGCCGTGTTAATCTCATGATCTAGGTTAATGTATTAATCGATTTCGATCTTTTCACAGCATTATATTATCTGGGCCTTAAGCGGGGCATTCGATCACAGTATCATCATTTTTGACCATTTGGTTCACTGCCTATTTTTTGCACTATTTCTTTTGAGTTCGTGCAGCGTCTCTTGTAGCTGACAGACGTTTTATAGAAACAATGCCACGAGTCTTACGTGGCTGAGTCGTTACCATTGATTTTAATATAACTGTTCCAATTTACTCACTGGAATACCATTTCCAAACAAGCAGTGACGAGTTTGTAGGAGATGGTGCCCCTTTGATGCACGCCCTTCTCTACTGGGATCTAAAGGGATGTCGAACAGCGTGGGTTCTCTTCCTTTAGCACGCTGATATAACGGGTGTTACTGTCACATTCTGCCACAGTCCACATTTCGTTGGACGCCACAGTGTCGAATGCTTTCACGTATTCGACAGAAGCTAGCTGATATTCACGAAGGCAGCTGATAATCCTTCAGGCGCTAGAGGAGTTAACTTAAGGTAAATATAGCATCTGTTTTGATGTCGCACCTTCAGATCTTACCTCTTATATTGGCTGCTGTTTGTCTAGACACGTTGACAGTCTGTTCGTGACGATTTTATTGAACAATTTGCAGACTAGAGAGAGTACAAAGATTCAGCGATACTTCTTCAGGTTTTCCTTCTTGCCTTTCTTGAACAACGCAATAGTTTTTGACTCATGGTATCTTTTCGGTTTCTCCGGTAGTAAATTGACTTCCCTGCTAGATCCTTCCACGGCGTTTGTCATTTAAATTGCCAGACCATTTCTCCCTAGGGCTCGTCCTTCCTTCATTTGCTACTCGGCATGTCGATTATCGCTTGTTAGAACAAAGAGTTTACATCCATCTGGCTGTTGGAAGTGATGATGGTGGAGGGACATGTCTTTGACGCGAACAGCTGTATATGAAAGTTCTTCAGAGAGAATGCATCTCAGCTGTACGTGTCAAAGTGTCATCCCCGTTCTTCCGTTGTATAAAATTTTTGTGGTCTTAGGCTTTTTCTCTAATTTCTCTAGGTCTTTAAATCCTCCTTCAGATTCCATCTAATGAGCTAGTGGAGAAGAGGGCATTCCATCGTGTCAGACAAATATCTCTTCATCTTGCTCCGCTTCTGTAATAAAGTCTCTGTCGTATCTGAGATCCTTCCTATCGCTCTCTTTAATATGGCCACTTTGGCTGACTCTACTCAATGCCTCAGTTTCTCAGAGAACTTCTGGCAGTCGTCGTCGTAACTGTCTTTTTGGCTCCAGTCTAAGCTCGAAATGCACCAATGGAGCATCGCTTTATCTACTACCTTTCGTTATTGCTTGCGATTTGTCATCTACAGCGTCTTCACCTCGATCTTCTCCTTTAAGGGGGAAGCGTAGACTAGCTTCCGCCAGTCTGCTGTCTCTACCGGTGAATAAAGGTACTACTGCCATGTCTCACGTGATGAGGCATTTATGGAACAAGATGAAGTCGAGCACGTTCCTCGTCGCCACGTCGGGCGCGATCCATGTCCACCTCCATCTGGTTAACTGTTTGAGCCAGGTGTTGCCACTATTCAGGTGTTCCGCTTCTGCCAGAGTTACCAGCTGATCTCCTCGCTCGTTTCGCTCTCTGGTGCCGTACCTCCCGACAACCGTTTCTTCGGCTCTTATTAGTTCGACCTCGGCACTGAAATTCCCCATGGCGAGGGGATACGTGAATTTTAGAATCAATGCTTGTTCTAGTTCTTGATACAATTTTTTT